TGTGCGCTGCTCTGGTTTGCCAGAAGCTGCTTAGTCATGCCAGCCACATGATCCGGAAGCTGTACACCGGCTCCCTCGGCCAATAAAGCGAGATGAGCGCCGCAACCCCAGAGTCGGTCACGACTGGACCTCATGGTCAGGGGTCCCTTTACTTTTTTAGGGATGGACAGCCCATGGGCCTCCAGACATTGTTGGACTCCAGCTTCCTTAAGTCCCCAGAGTGCATGGCCAATGGTCAGGGATGCTGCTTCCTACCTGACAGACAATAAGATTTTAGGACTGCTGAAAGTGACTCAAGGGAGGTCAACACACACTTGTTCCTCTAGTCCCATTGTTGCCTCTATTCAAACAGGTTCAGCTGGTTTTCAGGAAAGCGCCTATAATGGATAGCGATTTTTTCTTCATATGAGCTTTAAACAAAAAGTGCTTATCTCTCCCTGGAAGCACGATGGCAAGGAGATGAGCACAAAATGTGCATCCTTAGACTTGTAGAAATGTAGAGCTGGAAGGTACCTTGAGGATCATGCAAGCCCCTGCAATGTAGGAAGACGCAGCTGCCCCACATGGGGATCGAACCTGCAACCTTGGTGTTATCAGCACCACGCTCTAACCAACGAAGCTACTCAGCAATTACTTCATTGGCTATCCAAGCCAAAGTATCTCAAAGTGAGTCTCAAGTCCCAATCTGCAGAAAGAGGGCTAATACTGCCCAATAATGCCTGCAGTAAAGATGTCTGAGAGTATGCACGTAAAGTCCTATAAACCCCGATAAAGCTCTATAAAAATATGAAGTTATGGTTGTTAATTCTACGTGGGGGATCTCACCATTGCGAGGACAGATGAAACAAAGCCGTGGATTAAGTGAAGGTTTAAATGCTCTGATTAGGGTACCCCTTCACCCTCACAGCTTAGAAATGCAACTTCACTAAACTTAACCAAGCACTGGGTTATTTGCATGCTTTTGTGACATTCTTTTGCCTGCAATCCAGAAGGCGGATTTCATACCAGAAATCCTAAATGGGAAGCCTACATTGGAAAAGAAAGAAAAAGAATTGCATTGGTTGGTTTTCAATGCTAACAGGACGCAGAAAGAACTCATTTTACAGGAGCTGATTTGGTGAAGGTATAAAGGTTATCGATGGCATGTTTTCCATCTCAAGGAATATTTCTTGCAGCTGGCAGCATGAGAGCTGATGTTGGTAGTTACAAGAAACTTCGCTTTTTTAAGTCTGCAACTGTGACATTGACTTTAACTGCTGAATTTGGTTTTACTTGTTTTACAAGTGTTCTGGTTTTCTCCTGTTGTTTTTTTAAAAAGATGGTGCATGATGTTATTGTAACCTGCCCTGGTGTAGTGCTTAAGAGCAGTGGACTCGTAATCTGGTGAACCGGGTTCGCTTCCCCGCTCCTCCACATGCAGCTGCTGGGTGACCTTGGGCTAGTCACACTTCTCTGAAGTCTCTCAGCCCTACTCACCTCACAGAGTGTTTGTTGTGAGGGAGGAAGGGAAAGGAGAATGTTAGCCCTTTGAGACTCCTTCGGGTAGTGATAAAGCGGGGTATCAAATCCAAACTCCTCCTCCTCCAAATTGCTTTGAGGTATTTTATGGGAAGAGACTCATAAATGGGTTCATAAATAAGCAAATGTGTGCTATGTAAAAGCAGCAAGATCTGCCTGTGTTTGTCTTTTTGAATAGTTTTAAAAGAGAATTCAAAATCGATTACAATGCAGCTCCTACTGCATGTATGAAGTTATGTAACCACCTCATTTCCTTTAGAGAGACAGAACCAAAGTAACTGGGGGTTTTTTGGGGGGGGGGAGTTGGTTTTCCCCTTTCTTTCTGTATCTTCAGTGCCACCTTCTGGCACTTTAAAGGCAACACAGGACATATATTTTAAAAGTCCTTTTAAAAAACCAACACTGCTCATTACAATGGAGGTTGCACAAGAGAATTGGTTGGTGGACTTTAAAATCGTTGACTTTAAAAAAAATCATCTATTTGGCAAAGCAGCATTATAGTTTTTTTGTTTTGGTTTTTAAAGCATGCTCAGCATACTGGAAAATAAAGGAAACAAATCCCATTTAAATGTTCACATACAGAAAAGAGAGTGCCGCATTCTACAAAAGACAACATCTTGGCACCAATGACCAGAATGTTTGGAAGGAATGAATCAGTTCATCCACTGAATTCAAGCTATAAGAAAGGAGATTCCAACTAAAAATACAGATGAATTTTCTGGTGGTAAGAGCTGTTCGACAGTGGAACGAATTCCATCAGAAAGTGGCGGACTCTCCTTCTTTAGAGGTTGGATGGCCATCTATCATGGATGCTTCAGTTGAGATTCCTGCCTTGCAGAGGGTTGCACAAGATGAGCCTCAGGGTCCCTTTCAACTCTACAATTCTGTGATGCTACAATTTTCTAACCCCCTGTACTTCCACATTTGCTCATTCATAAATCTGTTCTATCCCATTTGCACATCAATCTGTGATTTTCTTAACCTAAGTCTGCACAAGTATTCACAATGAAAAATGCTATGAAGATACAGTGGTACCTCGGGTTAAGAACTTAATTCGTTCTGGAGGTCCGTTCTTAACCTGAAACTGTTCTTAACCTGAGGTACCACTTTAGCTAATGGGGCCTCCTGTTGCTGCTGCACAATTTCTGTTCTCATCCTGAAGCAAAGTTCTTAACCTGAGGTACTATTTCTGGGTTAGCGGAGTCTGTAACCTGAAGCACAGTGGTGCCACGCAAGACGAAATTAATCCGTTCCGCGAGTCTCTTCGTCTTGTGTTTTTTTCGTCTTGCGAAGCACGGCTATTAGCGGCTTAGCGGCTATTAACGGCTTAGCGGCTTTAAGAAAAAGGAAACAAACTCGCAAGACACTTCGTCTTGCGAAGCAAGCCCATAGGGAAATTCGTCTTGCGGAACGACTCAAAAAACGGAAAACCCTTTCGTCTAGCGAGTTTTTCGTCTTGCGAGGCATTCGTCTTGCGGGGCACCACTGCATTTGTAACACGAGGTACCACTGTACTTCTGTAAAATGTATTTTGCCTCAAAACACAGATTATCCAATCCCCCAAGCATCCTACTGTAAGGTATTTCAAGAGAATATGCATTCCACCAAGACCGCATTCTCAAATAATTAGCCTCCCCTTCAAAGGTCTATCTCCAAAGGTAGCTAGGTTACAATTTCCTTCATCCCTGACCATTGGCCATGCTTACTGGGGCTGGTGGGAGTTGGAGTCAAGCAAAGCATCTGCAAGATTTCACATCACTGCTTTAAGTGAAGGAAATACCCAACTGTCCCTTGCAAAATTTTAAACGTTGAATTTCTCTTCCCAACCCCAGCAAAATAATAATAATAATAATAAAATCATCATAATCCAATAAAACGTAGTCATGACTAAGTCACCATTAAATCACTGGGGCTTCAAGCAAGTCACAATTACTGTATTTTTCCGTGTATAAGACTATATTTTTTCCTAAATATACATGGATAGCGCATAGCGCATTTTCTTAATTTTGAGTCTCAAAAAATAGGGGGGGTGTGTGTGTTATACACGGAAAAATACAGTAAATCTTATTTTGTTGTCCTTAATTGGATTTAGCAAAAGATATCTGGCTTGCCCCCAACATTTTAAATCTTCCTTCCTGTCATTTAAATGTAATATTATTTAAATATTTGAGAGCACACAGCTCTAGAGAAGGAAGGATCTGGATATTTCCACTCCATGTCACTTTCAAACGTTATTAGCCATAATTCCATCCTATGTTTCACATCCCTCTCATATGCCATATTAGAGTACATATTTAAATCTGTTCGATTCTCTCAGAAATGTATATTTAAACATGTATTTTGACATATTTAAACTGCCAAGAAATGCACTGCAACCTGAGAAATCCAATGGATAGCTGTTCCAAAGCGGCCATTACTCTGATTGGCATAGATCAGGTCATTTTGCAGAGAAATCCACAGAGATCAAATTCCTCACGCATTCCTATAAAAGCGCTTCTTAATCATCTTTCATCTGACATAAACAGGATCCAGTTGCTTCTATTTGTTTTCATATGCTGTTCGGTTTAAACTATTTTTTTTCTCCCCTGAACAAAGCATCCCATTTTAAATGTATTGCCCTGTGAGCTGCAAACATACTATTCCAGGGGTCAGCAAACGTTTTCAGCAGGGGGCCGGTCCACTGTCCCTCAGACCTTGTGGGGGCCCGGACTATATTTTTTGGGGGGAAATGAATGAATTCCTATGACCTACAAATAACCCAGAGATGCATTTTAAATAAAATGTAAAAACTCACTGATTCCTGGTCCATCCGCAGGCTGGATTGAGAAGGGCCTTAGTTTGCCTACCTGTAATGGTTCTAGGGGTTGCTTGTGCATAAGCCTGTGCCAACACCTGGCTGGGTTGCCTGAGTGAACCTTTCCTGTCCGGACAGCCACTCACCCATGGCTGTCTCAATCGCTGGCAGAATCCGTCAGTAGGCGTTTCTTAAACTTCTTCCAGCAAAGAAGCTCTTTGACGCCCAGTCTCCTCCTACTCTCCCTGCGCGGAAGCCTTCTGCGCAAGGAGGGCGTAGGCAGCGGAGAACCCTTCCTCTCCCCGCTGGTCCCTGGCAAGGAGTCATGTGACCGCCTCGCTGATTCCCCCATCTGCCCCCCTTCTCCACTGGAGCTACGCTGATTCCCTTCCCCAGAAGATGGGCTGCCTCTCCCAATCCCGGGACGCTCTCTGGGATCCCTCTGGAGCTCGCTCTCTCCCTCCGTCACTGATGGCAGTTCCCTAACACTACCCATGTAGTATTCTTTCTTTTATCTAACTGTTCACAGAATCACTTTGCTAGGTACAAATTCATTCTGTTGAAGCCAAGAAGGGGTCCTGGCTTACAGTGCTATGTATTTCAGCTGCACTTTTCATGTACTGACACACAGGCCAGATTCTGCGAAGATTTGGTTCCTCAAGTCTGGGGATAGATTTATAGAACCTACCTTGGTCTGGAAGCAGCAGTAGAGCTGTGTTAAGTAAGGATGCTTCCGTGCTAACGCCAGAATCCGTTTTTCTGTCATTGTACAGTCAACGTCATCATCTTGTAGGATGACATCTTTCTTTAAGACTTTCACGGCGTATACTTCATCTTTGCCTTTTAGTTCAGCTAGCATGACCTGCAACAAAGAGGCAACTGCACTTTTACACACGGCAAGTAGTTCGTATACTAAAGTAGCTAAAAAGAGAAATTAAATGGAAGTTTTGCACTAGTGGAAGCCAGCACAACAATTCCCGTTAGCGCAATGGGAATCCCCACTCCCCACAAATCGGGGAAACTCCCAGAATATCGTGTGAGGAAAAGAGATGAGCGATCATTCCATCTGGCATGGAAAGGTGCTTCTGCTGACAAAATGATCTCTTTAGTGCCTCACTGAATAAAACTCACTGAATGGAGAGGCACACACAGCAGACAATCCTGAAGCAACATGCCTTTTTCCACAGTATCTGAAAGACCACTTCCTTCCCTACAGACCTTCTCAAACATTAAGCTCAGCAGAGGGAACCATTTTGGTAGTTTCACCACCCTCAGAAGTTCAGGGGGTGGCAACCCAGGAGAAGGCAATCTCTGCGGCTGCTGCTAAGTTTTGGAATTTCCTCCCCACAGAGGTGCGTTTGGCTTCTTCACTGTTCAGCTTTCGAAGAATGCTGAAGATACCCTTCTTTACCCCTGAAATGCGTCTGTTCAGGGTCCACCCTATTCCTGTGGCTGCAATTTGTCTTAACTGCTTTTAATCCTGAATTGTAGATAGTTGTCACCCACCCTGGGACCTGCTGGAGTAGAATAAGGCAGGGAATAAGATAAAAATGTCAAGGGGGCAAGTGGAGAACTCCAGTATTCCTAGTTTTTAGATTTTCCTATAAAAGGATTTTTCCTCTCTTTCGTGGTCAGAAATTGTAAGGTGTGTGTGTGTGTGTGTGTGTGTGTGTGTGTGTGATCCAGAGCCTCCAAAAAGCCAGTCTCCAGCACCACAAGAACTATGGTTCCTCAGGAGGCTAGGCAGACTAGGCCTCATGGAGAAGAGATACACACTAGGCCACAGTTCCAGCCTGAAATACTACCCAGGCCTCTCTATCTGGCCCTCAGGAAACTCCCCAGGCAACAGCCTTCTCCTCAAGCCATACCTCTCACTATCCCAGCTTTGAACCATCCTAGAGTTGTTTTTGCCTGGTTGGAATGCAGTCATTTAATTTCATCCTGATTCTAATTTTCAAGCTGTATTTTAATCAATTGTTTGATTGTGTTTTAATGTATTTGACATTTGATGTTAGCTGCCCTGAGCCCGGTCTTGGCCAGGGAGGGCAGGGTATAAATAAATAAAAATTTACTTACTTACTTACTTACTTACTTACTTTAAGCAATGAGCCTTGCTTTCATGAACTGATGATAGCGAGGGATGTGTGTAGAAACAAAGCTAAAATCCACCTTTGCTTGCCTTGCCCAAATTAGCTTTGAGTCCTGCCCACCACTGGCGTGTAGGATATGGTGGCTTGCTAAAAGAGAATGCAGCCTTTGGGCTTTAAAAGGTTCCCCAAGCCTGATCTACATGTTTGCAGCAAGAATCAGCAATGCAAAACGTGGATCTGTTTTTTCAAGCATAAATGAAATCCAGATTCTCAATGCACTTGTTTCTTGTAGTTTTTGCCCCAGTGAATTTTTTTTAGTGTGCCTCGCTCGGGCTTTAGAATTGCACGCATCCTGGCTCTGTTGTCACTTCGAATTTCAGACTGTTTCCACCTAGCGCTGCTGAGCAAGGGGCCGCATCTAGAGCCGAATGGGATTTGATGCTGTCACTTTAAAGTCACCTCTGCAACTCCTCCTTAAGGCGGAACAGCAGGAGTCCGAGCAAACACAGCCTAACATTTACATGCCTTGTTGAGTCTGCATGGCTGGCAAGTTGAAAAAGCAAATTATCTGACTTGCAAAATCAGGGCATGCAGAGCAGGAATCACCTTCAGGGAGAATAAATGTCAGCCTCCCTATGGAGTGCTTTTTCAGTCAAGTGCCTCAACAGAAGACACCAACTGCAGCTTAGCATTTCAATTGGCAGCCACACTTTCAACTTAACAAACAATTCAGCACTGACTTTTTTTTCCATAAAAAAACTAGCCAACTTAAAAAGGAGATACTTGTTCAGCATCACAGAGAAAATACATCGCTGGCAATAATTTCTATGCCATTTTTCAGGGCATGGGTGGTACCAGTTCTTTTCTAAATTATTCCAAGAACCACCAATGGAAGTAAAGCAGCCCAAGAAACTATCACATGTGCAGCGGAACCCAGCTAAGCAGAGATTTAAACCTTGGCCTTCTGCATCTAAATCCCCTGTGTTATCTACTGATGTTCTTGGACTACAACTCCCACAATCACTGGCCATTAGCCATGCTGACCAAGATTGATAGGCATGGTAGCTGAAGAATATCCGGATAGCTACCTCTGGACTACACAGCTGTTCCCCCGCATTGTTCTGATATACTTGAGAATCCACAGCATCAAGCAGCTCAGAATTAGCAGCCTGAGACGTGGCTTGACAGGACTGCTGGTGCAATCAAGTTATGCATGGACCAAAAAGGTAAAGTGGTACCTCTGGTTATGAACTTAATTCGTTCCGGAGGTCTCTTCTTAACCTGAAAGCGTTCTTAGCCTGAAGTACCACTTTAGCTAATCGGGCCTCCTGCTGCCACAGCACGATTTCTGTTCTCATCCTGGGGCAAAGTTCTTAACCCGAGGTACTACTTCTGGGTTAGCGGAGTTCGTAACCCAAAGTGTTTATAACCCGAGGTGTTTGTAACCTGAGGTACCACTGTACTGTGCAAGAGATTCTGTGCCAGGTAACTGAGGTAGCGAGAGACAGTGAGCTGTAGTGGCCAGAGTTTAGGGAAGTTGTTAATGTTTGATGGTTTATTGTGCTTTTAATTCTGTTGGGAGCCGCCCAGAGTGGCTGGGGAAACCCAGCCAGATGGGCGGGGTACCAATAATAAATTATTTATTTATATATTTATATAATAATTATTATTATACTAAGAATTCAGATCCCTTACACAGCCATAATCTGGGTGATCTGGGAATTTACGGGTGATCCAGACTGGCCCTTTTTCAAATCAGGCCATGAAACAGGTTTACCCATAAACCTCCAAGCCCCAATGCATGATTGAATTGATGCATGGCTTTTAAATTAGCTGAAGCCCTACTGGCATAGATTTGGTAATCCCTATGACCACCGGAGGAGGGTGTGCATGAATGCAAACACAGATATGCCACAAGCTTCAACCATGCCTCAGCCTTGTTTCTTCCTACCAGTACTGCATGTTGTTGTATTTAATGCGCACAGTGGAAACAAGCAGCAATCAAGGACTGCTCACCTTCCCGAAGCTGCCTTTCCCTAACACTTTAATGAAGTTAAACTCTTCGAGGCCCATGCGCTTCGTCTGTGTTTTGACCTCTCCGTTTTCGCCGTTCTCCCCGGGAGTGTTAAGCTGGCCGTCAGTCGAGGTCGCTGCTCCTCCCCTGTGCTCTTCTCCTCGGTTGTCAAATGACAATGCTTTCCTAATGTTATTTTCAAGCTCTTTGATTTCTGTGAAAGTTTAAAATGACAGCAGTGGACAGATATTTTAATACACATGCACATGGATATGGGAGAGCTAAGCTTCAGCAATACCAAGATCCTGGTTGCATCAGGATGACGCATGCATCATCATTTAAAAAATTACACTGCCCTATACCAGTAGATCTCAGGGCAGTACACAGCATAAAACCACAATATATATAAAAAAGAAAATACATATGAATTATATAAAAAATATTTTAAAATTGTCCGTTAGCACCTTAGAGACCAACTAATTTTGTTCTGGGTATAAGCTTTCGTGTGTATCTGAAGTATGCATGCACACGAAAGCTTATACCCAGAACAAACTTAGTTGGTCTCTAAGGCACTACTGGACAGTTTTTAAAACTTTTTATTTATTTATTTCATCTGCGTCAGACCAACATGGCTACTTACCTGAATCCAGAAAATACATAATAAAAACAAAACGACAACAACCCAATAATCTCCCCTTCCACACACATTTTAAAAGGGCATCAGATGTCAATATTATTATGTATGTATGTATACATACATGTGTGTGTGTGTGTGTGTGTGTGTGTGTGGATAGATAGATAAACAAGCAAACAGATAGGAACACAGGAAGATGCTCTACATTAAAAAGACCATTGGTCCATCTAAGTAAGTATTTACACTATCAGTGGTGGCTCTGTAGGATTTCAGACAGCCCTATGCAGGGATTCCAGGGACTGAACCTGGGACCTTCTGCATGCAGATAAAATGCTCTACCACTAAACTGCAGCCCCTCCCAGATAGACAGAAAGATTGTACTTTGTGTATGGAAAGCTGCAGGATCCATCCTCAGCATCTCCAGTTAATGTTCCACTGCTGGGAAAGGCCCCAGAGACACTGCTGCAAGTCACAGGAACAGCCAATATGGTGTCTTCTACAGGTGTCTTTTTTAGTACTACAGCTCCCATCATCTCTGCCCAGCGACTATGCTGGCTAAGGCTGATGGGAGTTGGAGTCCACCAACATCTGGAGGGCACCATTTTTGCTACCTCTGCAGAAGATAGTGTCTCACTAGATGGTCCCCAAAAAACCTTCAGCAGCTTCTTCTGAATCTTCAAAGCTAGCATGTCCTTCTACTCTACTGAGCAGGAAAGACAGCGCAAGTCACATGGCAATCCCTTTTGAGTGACATGGCCATGTTATGACACCAGTTCTTTCATAATCTATTCTTCCTTAAATCTGAGATGTTGGGGCCACATTGTTTACAAGGCTGCAGCTCAGCGAGACCTCCAAAATAATTTAAAATATTCATAAAAAGCCAATGCAATTCTGGGCTGCATCAATAGGAGTATAGCATCTAGATCAAGGGAAGTAATAGTGCCACTGTATTCTGCTCTGGTCAGACCTCACCTGGAGTACTGTGTCCAGTTCTGGGCACCACAGTTCAAGAAGGACACTGACAAACTGGAACGTGTCCAGAGGAGGGCAACCAAAATGGTCAAAGGCCTGGAAACGATGCCTTATGAGGAACGGCTAAGGGAGCTGGGCATGTTTAGTCTGGAGAAGAGGAGGTTAAGGGGTGATATGATAGCCATGTTCAAATATATAAAAGGATGTCACATAGAGGAGGGAGAAAGGTTGTTTTCTGCTGCTCCAGAGAAGCGGACACGGAGCAATGGATCCAAACTACAAGAAAGAAGATTCCACCTAAACATTAGGAAGAACTTCCTGACAGTAAGAGCTGTTTGACAGTGGAATTTGCTGCCAAGGAGTGTGGTGGAGTCTCCGTCTTTGGAGGTCTTTAAGCAGAGGCTTGACAACCATATGTCAGGAGTGCACTGATGGTGTTTCCTGCTTGGCAGGGGGTTGGACTCGATGGCCCTTGTGGTCTCTTCCAACTCTATGATTCTATGATTCTATAAATATAAAATAAAAGGGGGCAAACCTTGATCACATGGAGAAGTCGGTGCCGACTTTGATCTGTCATCGTCTCCTGGTGAGGATCCAGGAACCGGTGGTTGAGATTCTGCACCTGGGACAAGCTAAGAATAGACAGAGAAATGAGATGCTTAACCATCACAAGGTGTTCTTCTGACATGACATTTATGAGACGCAGCTCCAAATAGCAAAGCTTCTGCACACAAAGAGGAAGGCGACTGAAAATCCTCCTTGAATTGCCATCTGCTTTACAGATTGACAAGCATAGCAGCTCATTTTTAAAAGAGATTGAAAAACTTGCATTTATTGCGTTGAAATCTTAACTTGTTTGAAGAAGTACACGGTAAATGCTGCTAGGCTTACCAGATACACAGAAAGACCACACATAGAAACTCTTTCAAAACAACAACCCATAACTTCTGAAACAAGGTACAGTATTCTTGACACAAGTTCTACAGTGTCGTGTCAGAATGAAAGGCCATAATTCACTGAGCACCATTCCAACACCAGTTTAATGAAATCTGCACAGGAGCTGTGCAAACGAGGAGATTTAGTGGATTTCAACCACATTTTGCTTGCCAAAAGATGCAAGATGCTTGACTTGCCAAATGCAGCTTTTCTAAATTCTCCATGATTTATGTCAGGAGAATGATCTCGAAGAGGGATGGGGAACCTATGACCCTTCACATGTTGTTGCGCTCCACTGCTGTAAGTCCCAGCCAACGGTCAAGAATTATGGAAGTTGTAGTTCAAAATCGCCTGGAGGACCCATTTCTAGCCTGATGGCATGTGACGCTGTGGATCCTAAGAATGTCTTGTAACACAAGTTGCCTAGACAGAAGTTCACCTGGAAACTATATATGAATATAGACGAATATAAGTGCAATAAGCTGATAGAATGAGGCAAAGCAGTTGATTATGAACATGAGATTTATGCTCATGCCACCACCACACATTTAAAACACCTCCCAAGACCACACCACACCTTTAAAGCACAGCCATACCACTTTAATAGTAATGGCTTCCCCCAAAGAATCCTGGGAACTGTGACTTGTTAAGGGTGGTGTGAACTGTAGCTCTGTGTGGGGTCTCCTAATAACTCTCAGCGTTCTTAAGCAACTACAATTCCCACGATTCTTTGGGGGGGGGAGCCAGAATTGTTAAAAGTGGTATAAGAGTGCTTTAAACGTATTCGGTAGAGGTGACTGATGTAGACGTCAAGAGCACATAGAACCATCATCTTCCTATATGCAAGTATAATTAATAATAATAATAATAATAATAATAATAATAAATTGCTATATTGCCCTTCATTTGAGGATCACAATTCACAATATAAAAACACAAAAATACATAACATAATAACCACTTCTTTTCTTCTAGAAAGAAAGGTGCCAGTACTCACCATGAAGTTGTTATAGTAAGTGCTACACTTTTAACCAGTGCTTTTCTTCTAGAAAAACATGGTGTCGGTACTGCATACCCTTGAGTGCCCCCAGAAAAAAGCACAAAAACAAACAATACACTCCTACACACAATTTAAAAGGCCACCGATTAGCCAAAGGTCTGGGAGAAGAGGAACTTTTTGCCTGGTGCCTAAAAGTGTGTAACAAATGCACCAGGCAGGCCTCCCTGGGGAGAGCATTCCACAAACAGGGAGCCACCACAGAAAAGGGCTGTTCGCATGTTGTCACCCTCTGGACCTCCCATGGAGGAGGCACTCGAAGAAAGAAATGCCTCAAGTGATGATTGCAGGGTCTGGGTCAGTTCATATGGGGAAGTCTATGTGCTATGTACCTGGCAGGATGGCACAACACACCCTATGAGGTATCCAACTAGCTTTTACATTGCTATTAATCACAATGACTAACTTAGGTTTCTTAATGTCACTGGGTCTATTAAGTAGGTGACTCAGGTGACTACAACCCCCTAGAACAGCATCTTTCCTTGCCAGGGACAAGACCGGGACGCAGCAATCCCTGCTGGGAAATGGGCACCGTGCATATCCCTTCTAAATGGAGGGCTCTCCAAGGACTACTGTGGGCAGTGAAGAAGAAGAAGAAGAAGAAGAAGAAGAGGAGGAGGAGGAGGAGGAGGAGGAGGAGGAGGAGGAGGTTTGGATTTGATATCCCGCTCTATCACTACCCGAAGGAGTCTCAAAGCGGCTAACATTCTCCTTTCCCTTCCTCCCTCACAACAAACACTCTGCGAGGTGAGTGGGGCTGAGAGACTTCTAAGAAGTGTGACTAGCCCAAGGTCACCCAGCAGCTGCATGTGGAGGAGGGGGGAAGCGAACCCGATTCACCAGATTACGAGTCCACTCCTCTTAACCACTACACCACACTGGCTCTCTAGTTAACCACACTGGTTAATGGATTGCAGGAGATAAAGACAGGAATCCTGTCCATATATACTTGGGAGGACTCTGTGGAGCTTCCTTCTGAACGGACATATTCAGGAGTGCACTGATGTTATGTGCGACTCTTGGCATAAAGAGGTCCAAGGGATGGTTTGCGGTTTATTTATTTTTTTACCCAACGCAGAAGGGATCAGCTTCTGTGAAGTGGCTTTGCAGAGCATCTGCTGAATTCAATTCTCTTTTGGGAGAATGTTATTTCAGTGCGTTTCCATTTGTCATCACTGTAATATCACGGGGGGTAGAGAGGAACATCTGGCAAGACAATGATCTCAGGCCAGTTTTTCAACCAGATAAGAATATTTATGTTCACATGTGTTCTCACAAGGGGACTTCAAAGTAGTAGCTTTGATGTTTACATGGCTTTCTGACAAGAACGATTCCTTCTGACAATTGAAAAATAATAAAGCCTTTTTTGACTTCATCACTACTGAGGTCAAAGCAGTCTAAGTTCTTCCAGGGCTTCTTCCAGCTCACTCGGTTTGTGTACTCCAAAGAGCACAAGTTTAGCAGTGATGATGCCATTATTTTGTCCAACTGCTTTTGATTTTCTCCATATGGGAACCTAGGAAGTTGCCTTATACTAAGCTAAACCATTGGCCCAACTAGGTCAATGCTGTCTATACCAGTGTGGTGTAGTGGTTAAGAGTGGTAGACTCGTAATCTGGTGAACCGGGTTCGCTTCCCTGCTCCTCCACATGCAGCTGCTGGGTGACCTTGGGCTAGTCACACTTCTCTGAAGTCTCTCAGCCCCACTCACCTCACAGAGTGTTTGTTGTGGGGGAGGAAGGGAAAGGAGAATGTTAGCCGCTTTGAGACTCCTTAGGGTAGTGATAAAGCAGGATATCAAATCCAAACTACTACTACTACTACTACTACTACTACTACTCTTCTTCTTCTTCTTCTTCTTCTTCTTCTTCTTCTTCTTCTTCATCTTCTTCTTCTTCTTCTTCTTCTTCTTCCAACTGCCAACAGTCTTCTGTGATATCAGGCAGGGTTCTCATCCAGCCCTACCTGTGTTGAACTGAACTTGAGAACTTCTGTATGCAGAGTTTTGGAATATGTTGTCAGCAATATACTGATGACACACAACTCTACTTCTCCTCTACATCTGCAGGTGTGGCAGTGGATGTGCTGGACCGTTGTCTTACCTCAGTAAGGGACTGGATGAGAGCCAACAAACTGAAGCTCAATCCAGATAAGGCTGAGGCACTGTTAGTGGGTTGTTTCCTAGAGTGGATGAGTGGGGGTTTGCCCTCTCTTGATAGGGTAATACTCCCTCTGAGGAATGGGTACACAGCTTGGGGGTACTTCTGTTAGAATTCCTGCTCCATGGTTGCAGTCATGGGATTGTTGTCTTCTGGATCCACTGCTGTCGCTTGAGGCTCAGGTGGTCTTAGTGGCGCCTTCCATCAGCTTGGCCTGGTGGCTGCGCACCTATCTGGACCAGGGCTTCTGTTGTCTATGCTCTGGTAACCTCTAGGTTAGATTACTGCAATGTGCTGTGCATGGGGCTGCCTCTGAAGACGATTCGGAAACTTCAGCCGGTGCAGAATTTGGTGGCCCAGTTGCTCACTAGGGCAAGACGGTTTGAGCATATAACACTGACCCTGGCCTGACTGCACTGCCTGCCAGGTAGTTTCCAGGCCCATTTGAATGTGCTGGTTTGGACACAGAAAGGCTTAAATGGCTCAGGAGCGCAATATATTTTAAGGACTGGCTCTCCCCATGTAAATCGACCAAGACCCAGTAATCAGAATCTCATAAAATCCCTTTGCCAACTCAAGCGTAAGCTAAATGCAACAAAAAAAACCTCATTAACATTTTTACTCCCCTTGATCATTTTTATATGCAATTACTTTTCTCATTAATTGACAGAGGATGGTTACAAAAAATGCAGAAGAAAATGTTCTGCACAGCACTAGTCATGAGTTCATTTGCAAGAATGATTACCTTCTTCCTCCTTTGTCCGCTATTAGTGATCTTATCCGGAGTGACACCCAGGTCAGCAAGTACTTTAGCTATGCCCCTCGCATCCACTCCGCAGTTGGGGGCCACATTTGTTTCACAGCGTCTATGTACATTCATCTTGCAAACTGCAATTTAAAACAGGTGAGGAAAGGAAGTTGGATTAGATCATTTTTTGATACGTCAACATCAACATCTGTCTTTACCATGTGGAAATCAGGGTGCTGAACTGCAGCAACCTTCCTTGAAACGAGAAAATTATTTCAATGGGGAAAATGCTGAGCTGGATCCATGACTGATCGTTTCATATCCTGGGATATGAGAATTGCCTTCTGAAGATTAGGCCAAGGTTTATCTAGGCCAGCAGTATGTTCCCAACAGCAGCCAGCTAGCAATGCCTCTGGGAGCTCGCTCGCTCAGGTCTCTCCTTCAAACCTGACAGAAAAGATGTGATTAATGGGCTGTGAAGGGACAGGCAGCCATCTTGTCTGTGAATGATGAAGCAGCACAGGATGAAGCAAAACATCCTTACACCGTCTAGGAGGCAAGAGACAGTGGTGCACAACCCAAATCACTCTTGAGGGCCACTTTTTCATTTTTATTAACCCTATAAAGCCACCTCACTATATCAAAGCACATTCTTTCCCTCAAAGAAATATGAGCACTGTACTTTGTAAAAGGCTGCTGGGAATGGTAACTCTGAGAGGGGTAAATTGCAGCGCCCAGAGGGAGAGAAGGTGTTTTGTTGCCATTATATTTTCAGAAGATCCTGATAACCCACTTTGTTTCGAAGTGCCTCACAGTTCACTCTCCCGTGTCCCCGTGAAACAACACAGGCCGCTCTGAAATCTTGGCCAACCTATCCCTCCCTTTCCAGCTCTACTCCATTACGCCTTCTCTCCATCTCTCACATTTCTCAACCCAGCCTTTTCATAAATCACTTATAACTCAGCTTGCTACTGAAAAGCCCTTTTTTTTGGGGGGGGGGTTTGCAATGAGCAACGGCAGAGGACGATCCAATCAGCCGTCAGGCCTTTCATTGTACAGACCCAAGCTAAGGCCATTAATCATAAACGAATATACATGTTCCCCCTGCCAAACACATCATTGATTTCTGGCTGCAAATGTATCAAAGGAAGCAGCAAATAACTGGACAGCTTAACACTGAGACTCCTCATTTGTTGACAGACTGCTGGAGCCTTATACCTTATATGCGAGTGCCCTCTTGTGGAGGGAAAAAAAGCTCAAGAAAGTGTACAAAAATGTAAGCATAACTCAATGCTGCACAATTTTAGAGATACAAATCCAAACACCGCCCCCACCCGCTACCCCAGAACAATAATTCACTGCACTTCCATAGGGATTTGAACCTGGGTCCTTTGTTTGTTGCTCAAGTGTCTAGTCGATTCATCACACTGAATGATCATTCTAACTGAAGGATGAAGGATCTGCAACCCTCCAAACATTGTTGGGCTACAACTCCCATAATCCCTTATGATGAGCTATACTAGCAAGGGCTGATAGGAGCTGGGAGCCCAACAACACGAGACATGGTAGCCTCAGTCCAGTATACCTGAAGGAGTGTCTCCACCCCCATCATTCTGCCCGGACACTGAGTCAAGTGCCAAGGACCTTCTGGCGGTTCCCTCGCTGCGAGAAGCCAAGTTACAGGGAACCAGGCAGAGGGCCTTCTCAGTAGTGGCACCCGCCCTGTGGAACGCCCTCCCACCAGATGTCAAAGAGAAGAACAACTACCAGACTTTTAGAAGACATCTGAAGGCAGCCCTGTTTAGGGAAGCTTTTAATGTTTAATGGGTTATTGAATTTTAATATTTCGTTGGAAGCCGCCCAGAGTAGCTGGAGAAACCCAGCCAAATGGTTGGAGTATAAATAATAAATTATTATTATTATTATTATTATTATTATTATTATTATTATTATTATCATCATCATCTAAAGGGCTGTCACACAGAAGATGGAGCAAGTTCGTTTCTCCTATCGTGCTCCAGAGGATAGGATTTGAACTGATGATCCAAGTTACAGGAGAGGAGATGTTTTGACTAAACATCAGGAAGAACCTTCCGAAGGTAAGAGGTGTTCGACAGTGGAACGGTCTCCCTCAGAAGGACTCCCCTTCATTGCAGGTTATTAAGCAGAGGTTGGATCTGTCATGGATACTTTAGTTGAGATTCCTGAATTGCAGGGGGTTGGACTAGATGACCTGTGGGGTCCCTTTCCAACGCCGCTGTCCTATGATTCTATTAATTTATTGGGGCAAGGGGCACAGGCTCCCCATCCCTGTCCTTCCATTCCCACTGCTACTGGAATGAGAATGAAATCACTGAAGGAAATTTTCCTAACAGTCCGAAGTCCATATGAGAGCTATAGGTTTACTAGGCCAACCAAAACGTCATAAAATGGCGTGCAAATGTTTGAGTTCTCCAGACTAAGTGTTACAACAAAACTTAAGGGGGATGGGGGGGGGAATAAAAAGGCTGCTGGTGTTAGTCAAGCTGTACGTGGCTGCATCTAGTACGTTTTGAAGATGGGGGTGTGGGAAATGAACTTTCAGGTGCTTGCAGTTTTCATGTTGTACCCCAAACTCCTGAGAAGAAGAAACAGGTAACAGCTGAACCTCCGTCTCCACAAATCCCACAACCAGATGCTACTCACTCTTGATAAGAGGGGAACTTGAAAGCTTGCAAAAAAATTGATGATATTTTTGTTGGCCTAATGAATTCCTAATATGGGCACTTATTTATTTTTTTCTTACAGGACAACCTTTTCAAAAAGTTGACATTCCTATCTATCTCCCACCACTGCTGTGATTTTTTTAAATAAAGCTGTTGTGTTTCAGAAACATTGCCTTAGTCGGATGCTCCTTGAATACCTTATGTTGCAAGATCAAACCAAAAACAAGGGAAAGGAATACGCCTCTGGTTTCAGAAACAGACCCTAAAAACAGCAGCCATAGATACTTCAGAGCTTACTTTGAATTCTGTGACCACCCGCAGTAGGACAATCCTGCATGTTCCCAAAACATCATAAATTAAAAGGTTAAAAAAAGGGTCCAAGTAATCCAATTAAGTGAACATAAGGAGACAGGGAGGCATCTCTACAAATCTGCCAAGAATTGAATAAGCCAACAGGGTTGGCAGCAGCTGTTGCCAACCAACTCCATTTATCCTGTTCTCTCTTTCTGAATTATTCTGGGTTGTTTTTGTTCTGCTTGCTGCAGGCATGCAAGTGTGTATATTAAAAAAAACGGGGGGTTTTAACTCAGATGCAGACATGTTTTGATTTCCTCCACTTAAGGTTGCTATTGCAGATAAATTGCTCCCGGTGCGAAAATGAGATGGCAAAGAATGAGAAGCTAACCACTCAAGGACTAAATGTGTGAGTTCATATGGTAAAAAATCCAGGGTTCTGGCTACCCCACTCTCTATGAAATGTAATTGGGGAATCCAGGAATTTCTATGGTAAGGGTTAGGGTTAGGGTTAGGGTTAGGGTTAGGGTTAGGGTTAGGGTTAGGGTTAGGGTTAGGGTTAGGGTTATTTTAAAGCAATTTATTATTTGTACAAATCTTTATGAACCTAATACTAAAAGAATACCAATGGCGTGTACATTAAGGAGGATATGTAAAGCACTTAGGATAGGTTATTGTGTTGTTCAATGAGCATTTTGGGAAAAGTTTTAACTTTTCTTGGTTTCTGTTTATTTTATCTGTTCCTATTTTATCCTGTTAAAGTCACTTTGATATTTTTTTTTATGCTTGTGTATAAAGTGACCAACAGACATAAATAATGATAATATACAAGAAAATGCAAAATTCATGAAATACAGGCATCCAACAAGTAATAAAACAGCTGTGTTGCATAATAAGCAAAGCAGGGTTTGTTTTATTATTTGCTTTATTATTAAGCACAAGCGCGAAGGAGGAAGCACAACCTACCTTTGCATTGTAAACCTTGTCTCAGAAGACCCCAGAGCAACGAACCACAGTGGTCACAGAAGGTGGGCACTTTGTAATTGTGAATGCTGAACTTGTGAGGCATGTTGACACTGAAGCGCTGGGAGCCCACCTGGCAGAAAATCACAAGAACACACAAAAACCACCACTCTGGTACGTCTAGTCTTTTCCAGTGAAGGCCTTGCAAAGTACTTCTACATTTTCCATATGTAACTCAATTCCCCAAGTGCTAACCCCTGCATAGGCAAAATGGTGGACTTCTGTGGGTCAGTGGGTCTAGCTGTTAGCCAGAAAGTTGGTGGTTTGAGCCCACCCAAGGACAGCTGTGGGCAGGATTCCTGCATTGGACTAGATAACCCTTGTTTCCAACTCTTAAATTATTTGGATTCTGTGAATCAAGGATACTGCGATGGGAATAAGCTGTACCTTTCATGGGAGGGTTAACTGCGCAGTGATAGAGAGTACACTCTGCATGCGGAAAATCCCAGGCTATTGAGTATCTTTGGTCCCCAGTGAAGAGCATCAGGCAGCAGACAAGGGGAAAGAGCTCTGCCTGAACTCCAGGAGAGCTGCTGGTGGTCAGAGCAGACAGTATTGGGCTAGGTGGAACGGCAGTCTGAGACTGCATTAGGCAGCTTCTTATGCATGTTGCAGGGGAATATCAGCAGTACAGAGTGGTTCGGGTCAGCTTGCCAATTTTACTGAGGACCCTCTGGTCATCTTTCAAGGAACATCGGGATCCTACCAAAGGCCGTTTGCAAATCAGCATCAACATTGTCCCTAAATGATTCACTTGTGGTACATAAATAATCTTCTGGTTGTTTGAAAAAGTTCCACTTGCAGATGGAGATACATGGCATATTCCCACCCACTTCTTATCGCTGGCTTCTACCCAGAAGTTCTTTAAAACAATAAGAGCACCAATTCAGAAATGCTTTAAAGCTTCCTGTAGTCTGGAGCCAGAGAATGTAAATCTACACAGGAACTTCCATATCCCCGCTGGCATAGAAGGATGGCACAAGTTGGTAGATTAACATCTGGCACAAGAGGTCATGGCTTTTCAAAGCACAAACACTGGCTTGTAAGCTCCGGGGGGGGGGGGGGGCTAGAAGATGGTAGTGCAATGGCTCTCTAAAATAAAACTGAGATATGGGGTAGGGCATCCCACAGAACAGACTGCAGTGGCACTATATTTTTTGCAAGAGGGCGAGAGAGAAAAAGATTCTGGACACTGTCAGCTCTACCCTGAGTCTAGATTCACCCTGCCAATCCAAATTGGAAATGCAAACTGCTTCGGTTGAGAAGCTGTGCACAGGAACCTTGTCGAACCACCGACGGCAGAGGACAAAGACACATCACCAACGCTGAAATGGGATTCAGCTGCCAGTCTGGTTGGCTTCTGTATGTGGAGTGGTAATGGGGCAGCCATCTTGTCTTTTGCCTCAGGCGGCAGAATTTCTTGAGCAGGCTCTGAAGACAGGGCCACCGCTTTGGGTGGCCAGTATCCAGTTCCATTCTCAGAATTCAGAGTTGGCCCTCTTTGAAAAACAAACAGTGGCAATAGTTCCCAGGGAAATTGTGCGAAACGGTTCTCAGTCATGCAAAAAAGTAAATGGTGAACTAAAGAGAGACTAGAAGGCTGCAGTCGGGATCCATCTCCTTCCCCCTCTCTTTTAACAAACAGGGGAGGTGACAGTGACTTGGCCTGACTTTATATATATGAAAAAAAATTCCACAAAACAGCACAACTCCCTTTTATCTAGAGCATTTGTTCCATAAATATTTACCTCATCGTGGGCTTCCTGCTTCTTCAACCCAGCGCATTTCGTTATTATAAGCTCATGGCATCGCTTATGGACTACGCAAGTGCAAACTGTAAACAAGAGAAACCGTATCAAGTTTGAGTTTTCACAATGCCAGTTTTATTATTTTGTCCAGAAGGGATGAGGTAACTGAAAATGAAAAAGGAAAAGGGAAATTCTGGAGGGTTGCTTCCCATTCCTACCCACCAGTCCCAGAGGATCTGAAAAGCCTAAGCAATACACTTCTTAACTGAAGAGGGTGGTCGAGGGTTATGGTACCTGAGCTGAATTGGGACAGGGTTGGGGGAGAGGCTGCAACCAAGTTGTCTTGTTCGCATCTAGTGGAACTTCCCCTCCTTCTCCTCCCCACTCCTGCCCCTGAAATCTCTTCCGGGTTTTCTCCTACCAACGCTTTGGAGAAGACTGGGGATATTGGGGATTTGCTGGGGGATGAAAGGGACGGCAACTTCTGCTGCACAAGCAGAGGTCCTTGCCCAAACGGGACAACTCTGCTGAATGCAACCCATTGCATGCTGTTCCAATGCTGCTATCAAGAGAATCATGGGGCCCTCGTGGCACACAAAAGAGACCCTGCGAATTCACAACACAAAGCGCTCGTTTTTGATCTTGAAGGCCCTAAACAGCTTGGGGCCTGCACTCATGTCAACTTCCCCACACTACATCCCCAGTGCTGTGCTCCTGTGCCTGCCACTGATGTCCATTAAACTGATGGCTATGAGAGGGAGGGCCTTTTCAGTAGTGGCCCCACACTTGTGAAACTCTTTTCTCATTGAGGTTTGTATAGCCCAATGCCTATTCACCTATAAGCAAGCATTAAGGACCAATTTCTTTTAAATTCAGCTAGGTAGCTGTGTTGGTCTAACACAGCCGAAATAAATAATAATAATAATAAATTGTCCAGTAGCACCTTAGAGACCATCTAAGTTTGTTCTGGGTATAAGCTTTCGTGTGCATGCACACTAGAGTATCTGAAGAAGTGTGCATGCACATGAAAGCTTATACCCAGAACAAACTTAGTTGGTCTCTAAGGTGCTACTGGACAATTTTTCAATTTCTTTTAAGTTGCTTTTGCATAATCAGGGGCTCTTTATTCGTTTAAATGATATAACTCTGAGCTGAATGTTACTTGTTTGTTTGTTTGATTGATTGATTGATTGATTGGCTGATTGATTGATCCTGCTGTCTTTTATATTACTGATCATTGATCTTGTTCCAAGAACCAATGAATGGCAAAGATGCTAGCTCCTTATAACTTACACCACAGATCTTATATTTGTATGTCAAATTTTCCTTACCTTGACATTGATACCCTTGCTTTCCTATTACTCCCCTGGAGATGAAAAACAAACACACAGAGCATGGATTAGGAATCGGGAATGGACATATATTTTCACATCGCAACATTGACATGGTCAAGAGAGAGACACAGCCAATGGCCAGGGATGAATGTACTGGCTGCAACCCAACTTATTTAAGGAGATTCCTCTCTTGGCTCTACAGATGGAATTCTTCCCTTTGTTTCCCCCTCCATCATTTTTGGAAATGTCACCAAGCATATACTTTGCCAAAAATCCCATGCCAAAAATGAAAATAGATAGTTCTTAAGGCTCCTTAGGAACCAATTCCTCCGCAACCCTGACACTCTTCTTCTCTCTCTCTTACATGAAAGAAAGTATTGTGTGTTATCTGCACAGCCACACATGCTCCAAAGCCCTGAAAGGTCTTGCAGATCTGGTGCCTCTGAGTCCTTAATTCAGGCTAATCTTGGGCCTTCCAGATGTTGCTGGACTCCAGTTCCCATCAGCCCCAGCTGGCATGGACAACCGTCAGGGATTATATAGGAGCTGTAATACAGCAACATCTGTGGACCACAGGTTAGCCAGCCCTGCTGAAATGGTTGAAACTGAGAAGAAGAAAGCTTGAAAGGCTTCTTCCTCTATTTTAGTCCTGCAAATCAGAGGCTAGAGCTTTTCCCTGCCATAAGAGACATTATTGATAGATGTAGGGCCAGCTGTACATTACCTTCTGCAGTTTTAGTGTTACAGATCTGAAAAAATACCCCTCTATCTGCCATGTATGCAAACACACACACATTAGTATGATTCAGACAACCAGCCTTCTCATCGCTATCTGGGGCCGGGTAAAATTCAGTGCACTTGACCTCGTCTGAACGAGTCAACAACTTAAAAATCTTACAGCCCATTCCTACGCATGCCTACTCGGAGTAATCAACAGGGATTCCTGCCAAAGAAGGTGTGCAGAAAGAATGCAAAGAGTTTGGTTCTATATTATCAAATAGCTGCAGCAACCACAACAATAGTTACGGTACCTTCTTTTCGACAAAAAGAATGGATTTACAGTAATTGAAGCAACCCACATGCTATCATGCAACACAACAAGCTAGCCCAAAGGTGGAGAACGGGATCTGGTGGGTGGGCTGGATCCTTACCTCCCGCCACCTGCACCCATAGGCCATTTTGAGTGGTAACTGGGGTCAATTACCTGTCAATTACCTGGCATAGCACTGATGCCAATTGCCCCAAAGTTATTTTTTGCTTTACCAAAAACTATTGAATGCAAAGGAAGATTTGTGTTCGTAGCAAGCCCTGCTTGAGGGCTTGATGTCAGTGCCAACCCCACCAGCGCTTCCTGTTGGCACCGATGGGTGCTTAATGCAAGCCTGGTTTAGCAGGGATCAGTTGCAATATGGAGTTCCCCAAACTGGGAACCCTGTAGCACAGCCAATCCTAGCATGTAAGCTCTAACAAGCATGTAAGCTTGGCACTTTCAGCAAGTAGGTACACAGGTGGCACTGTGGTGTAAACCACTGAGCCTCTTAAGCTTGCTGATTGTAAGGTCGGTGGTTTGGATCCCCGTGACAGGGTGAGCTCCCGTTGCTCTGTCCCAGCTCCTGCCAACCTAGCAGATCGAAAGCACACCAGTGGAAGTAGATAAATAGGTACCATTGCGGTGGGGAAGGTAAACAGCGTTTCCATGCGCTCTGCCTTCCATCACAATGTCCCGCTGCACCAGTAGCGGTTTAGTCAGGCTGGCCACATGACCTGGAAAGCGGTCTGTGGACAAACGCCGGCTCCCTTGGCCCGAAAGTGGAAATGAGCGCTGCACCCCATAGTCAAATTTGACTGGACTTAACCGTTCGGGTGTCCTTTACCTTTCAGAAAGCTCCACTTGGGACAGCTGATCAACTGACTGGCTTGATGAGGGCCAACCAGAAGTGCATTTTTAAGCTTCTAATCATTTCTGTGTGCCTGCAGCTCTGCCTGTACCACACCTGATACCACATATGAAATCAGGTGTAGGGCAGCGGGATCTGGTTGGGGGGGAAAAATCCTTGTAGGCCAAACAGGGACCCATTCTGGGCCTAATTCGGTCTTCCCCTGAGCTAGCCGATGCCCAGCAACGACACCTCACAAAATACTTACCATATAAAGTCTCGGCAGTGTGAACAATATGTTGGTTGTCTAAGGTAGGTGGCCATAAACTTGTGCCCGTTAACCTGGTGGACCCTGCGTCGGACGGCCCCCTGGCGCTTCCGGGGCCGCATCCGCTCTCTAAACACTCGTTCCTCATTGTCTTTGGGTGCTAGAGAGAACAAAAGAGAGAGGAAGAGAAATAACATCTCAGATATGAAAGCTGGTGAGAGAATCAAGAGAATGCACACTTGCAGTTTGATTTCCACATTGCACCGTGGCTGCAAACCACCACAATTCTTTTATTTACCCCCAGAGTCTTTTATTTTTATAATTAAATTTAAAATCTTTACATGTATATTTCAGATTACAAATTTGTTATACATTTCTCTTTAAACTTTGACTTCCTGCATTTCCCTCCATGCTGTTTCTTAATCCCATCCCCTTTTAAATACTGCATTCTAATAAACATTTCACCTAAGACATTTTCTTCTATTTCATATATTATCAATCTTCTACTGCTGCTCATATTTCAAATCCTGCTCGCAATTTCATCCAATTATTCCCCCGCCCCCGATATTACAAAAAAGGGCATGTATACTCTGTCATGTTGGTGTTTTTTTTTCTTTTTTTCTTTTAGTTTCGCCAGCTCCACTTTAAAATCCATTCTTCTTTTGCTGGGTGTTTTCTTTCCAGTTCTGTGTCAAACCACCCCAAAGTTTTGCCTGGTTCATCATACTTGGCTGGCGTTATTTATTTTATTTAATAAATTTCTACACCGCTTTTCACATAAGGATCACCAGGCGGTTTACAATATATGAGGCGAGAACTGTCCCACTTTCCCAAAGTTTATCTCTGGCCCAAACCACGGATGCTTCTGGAATGCCTTGGTTATCTAGTTCCAGCAAGTGGCAAGATCACAGCTGCTGGGGGGGCGCATCTGGTGCGCCACCCCCTCCTCAGACACTGTTGCGTGTCGAGGTCCCCAAGCCACCCCCTGAATAAATCACAATTCACTCAGAATTTTTGTTTAAGGTTTTTGACATAATTTTGGCCACAACTTTATTAAAATATATAATGTGAGTGGTTGCTTAGGCATTGGTTACGACTATCTGTCCCCACCCCGGGACAGAACTGACTTCCGGATTCCAGCGAAAGCCAGTAAGGGAAAACAATATTGGGGAGAGAATGGGGCTGGGCACCATACCGTCACCCCTCCCCGCATGCTCCCAGGGGGTTGCATGGCCCTAGCCCCTTGCCAGGGATACAGGCAAATGTATGGCAAACCCCTGGATTCCTTTAACGGAATTCCCTTGCAGCAGCAGCAGCACTGGAGGGGCAGGCACAGCCAAACCTTACCCCACCACCAACCAAATTTTAACCAATGCCTAAGCGGAACCTTACAAGTTGTGGCAATTTGCTACGCAGTAGGCAAAAACCAAATGGCACCAGCCAATCTGCCAAATGGACAAAATTCCTACCAGGCCCCTGCCCTAAAAGCAGACGACCCCATGACAGGCATAGTAATGTCAAACGCAACAGCCCTAAATTAGGGAGGGTGGGCGGCGATCCGATGCACAAAGCAAAAGAGGCTGAAAAAGCTGTGTGCCAAGAATTTATAACCTTTGGGCCAACCCTCTAAATGGTAACATCAAAATCCCCCCAACAACCCAACTTGGCCCAATCACAGTCACGGCCACCCAAAAGGTTCCACCCATTAACCTAGAGGGGGTGTCTAGACCCCACCGCAACATGAAAGAGAAGATGCTTTGCTAAGCCAGAAGGGGACAAAGGTGGCTTCTTGCCCTAGTAGATCAAGCCTAGATTCCTGCTCTCTGCCCCACTGTTCACTTCCAGCAGCCCACAGAAATTGGCTGCAAGTAACTAAATCTTATTACGCCTCCTTTCTTAATGAAACTGCAGGGTTTTTCTAATGCAAATTGAAGCAGTTTGGAGTGTCAGCACACTGTCTGCATCAGATACAAATTGATTCTCAAGGCGAGGAAACGAGCGGTTCCATCGGCGTATTTAATTTCAATTGCCAAACACTCAGCATATTTTCTCAAGGAGCAAGCAGGATGATATATACAAGGGCCAGCGATGATCCCATTTGTTTTCTTTCTTTCCGCACTGTTTCTCCTTCTGCCGTTTTCCCCGAAAACTGGGATGCTGTGGTCTCTTCCTTGTTCTTTAGCTATTGTGCTAGACCAAACGCTGCAGGGGGACCGCAACAGGCAGAGAGATCACACACACAACTTTTGGCTTCTAGCTGCGACGCCGCCATCAAAGGGAAGCCACACAGTCCGTGTGCTGAGGCTTCCAGCTGTGTTACATTGCCCTGAGTGAGACACACTCAGTGTCCACCCACATCCTTTTTTGCTTGGGGGGTGGGGGGGGGGAGGAAAGGATATGAACCAACCACTATCAATATCAGGGAGACAGCCAAGGGGACAAGACCAGAGGGTTTGTATCCTGATACACTCACTGGGTTGTGAAGCAACATCTGATAACGGTGACACGGACCTTAATGAATTCAACTTGCTGGGGCACTAACAGAGATTTATTGTTATTTTTATTATTATTATACCGTATGCTCCTGATATCTGATTTAGAAATCAGCAAAATAAATAAATAAGCAAACTCTGATTCAATTGCCTGGAAACTCAATAAGGCTGCTCTCTTTGCCCTACAAGTGCACTGCTGTGGGGCCTAAAAAGATCTTATTTTCTGCAGCTGCGTAGCATCAAGGGCTTATGGAGAAATACAAGGAGGACTTAAATTACCTAGCCATTGTATTTTTAAAAAAAATCAAATGTGTAGTTTAGCGTTTAAGTAATGTTATTAATATTCATAATACTAATAGCCTCAATTCCAAAGAGAGGGCCACTTATTCTATTATTATTATTATTATTATTATTATTATTATTATTATTATACCACACTTTTCTTTATAAATTCCAAGGGCTTTCAAAATTACTAGAACATGTGAAAAACAATAAATATAGCAATAAAGAGAATTTCATTTGGCGGCTCCTTAAGACTAATTATGAATAAGCTTTTGATTACAAAGCTTTCACAAGGAAACAACCAACCACTTCAGAAATTTTGTTGTATATATTAACTTATATACAACCCACTATGTATAAAATAATGAAAATAATTAAGTATCATATAATAAGAGCAGGCTAAGGGAAGTTTAAAAAGCAGGGAGATGAGGATGATTACAATTCATGAACATGGCACGTTGCACCTAGAGGCCCCCAAAGCAGAAAGCTTGAATTCTTGATGGCTTGAATTCTGCAGTTCTCTAAAGACGATGCCCCAAATTTCCATCCCAGACAGACATACCAGAAATTCACCACGACCAATGTTACTGAAAGCTCCTGAGAGGTCCAACAGGACCAGGGATAGATACTCCCTGGCGAAGGTCACCTACCAAGGTGATCAAATAATTCAAATAATTCTCCACTTAAAACCAAGGCTGGAATCCAGATTGGACAGAGTCCATCCGCTAACGTCTTCTCCCTTATTTCATCCTCAATATCCTGTACATGCCTAATCCTGCAAAGGGCCAAGTCCATTTCTGTAAGCCTGTTCACATATCCCAAGCATGCTGATCCTAGCCCAGCCCAGCAGGATCCTTGCCCAGAATTGTTCCAGGCAAGTCTCATTGATACCAACACACACAAAAAACATGATTCTGACTCATCCAACATTTGTTTCCATTACAGAGAAAATTACGGGCAATTGCCAGACATTTGGCAGAACCCTTTCCTGCAAACATAATCCCTAAGGGATGGTTCATATAGTTAGCTTCTCCTACACATGAGTTGTCGGGGACTTGCTCACTTATGCCCATGCTCACTATTGTGCGAGGGAAGTGCGACAGGAGCATTTCTTTAAATGTGTGTATTCTGCAACATGTCATTGGTTTAATAACAGAGCATCATTGGCGGATTTACACTGAGCTATCCACACATCATTTTGCTTTATTCGTTGTTCTGCGACGCTTCCCCAATGTTACCGCCTTATTGCTGTCTGCAGGGACACTCTTGGACTGTAGCATAATGGGGGGAAACTACACAAGACTCTTTCTTTTAAAAGTATAAAAACAAGAGATAAGATTTACTTGGTGTGCTTGCTCTTGTCGGATTGAATGCACAAGACAGGCAGGTAATCCTTACATTACTGAAACATATTTACATGAATTTGTATGAGAGACTGACTAATATTTACAGACCGGCTCTGAGGCCAGCAGCAGCATAACGCAGCGCACTTGCTGCTCGAACAGTTAAAACGCACGCAACAGCTGATAACTGGACCAAATGAAAACAAAAACTGTCTCAGGCGTATAACATCACAGCACTAACCCTTTGCGTAGTATTTTGGATGCCCCCATTCCCACAGGGAGGTGGGGGTTGTAGTAATCTTTGTTCTTGCTTTTTTATTATGTATTTTGTGGTTTTCTAAAAATCTCGCATTCTTATGTTGTGAACCGCACTGAGATCCATGGATGAAGGTCATTATGCAAAATAAATAAATAAATGATAGATGGATGGTAGATAGATAGATGGATGGATGGATGGATGGATAAATAGATATAGATGATATATATATATATATATATATATATATATATATATATATATATATATATATATATGCTTTCGTAGATTTTCACGGGTACAGGAATGCAGGTTTTGGTGTCTTCGGGTGTCTTCCCGTGTAAAAGTTGGGGTGTCTAGGCGACGTTTTCGACGAGGTCTCACTCGTCATCTTCAGGCTGGTGCTTTCGGCTTCTTGTTACTGGAACAGAGCAGGATCTCAGTGTTTGAGTTCCTATAAATACTGTTGAGGGGGTGTGGTGTATAGCCTCCAATGTTCTGGGCAGAGAGGAAGTTCCCAGGCTAGTGTGCCTTTTCTTCTTTTGTTCCTTAATTACTTGAGGGATATCTTGAGTGATTTCTTGAGTGATATTCTGAGTACCACTTAGGTGGGTCATTAGGTGTGGATTAGTTGCTGAAGCTTTCGTGTCTTGACCTCTTGAACTTTGTGAAGAGTTTTTCTGAGAAGATGGCTGTACTGCACTTAGTTGTGCTCTGGCTTGGCTTCGTGTATAGGGGCGAGCTGTGGTTTTGTGTCCTGTGCCAGCCAGATCTGTGTAGGGATTGC